TTTCTACAATTTCTCTAATCGCTTCGGTTATCTTCTTTGTCTCTTTCTCTGCTTTTTTCCAAGGAAAATTGACGGAAGTTTTTTTTCCGTGAATTTTGAATTTGCAACGAACAAGCATTGAAGTGTAAAAGATTTTATTGCGATGCAGTATTGTTCGAGATTTATTAGCAACGCATGAAACAAGTGTTAATATTTTCACGCTGGAATCGTTCGCTGATATTCGTAGTATCAACGATTCGAGTAAAGTGTCACCATAATAAATCTAGATTACTGCAATCCGCTCACTGTACTCTGTTTTACAAATTGTTTTCACGATATACGCTCATACGCGCCAATTGTTATTTCTCATTAATTACAAATTCAACGTACCTTTCTCATTTGCATTCTCAGTCAAACTTCCAGACGAAATTTCAATGCAAAAAAGGAAACGAATGAAAAACAGATATTTATTTTTGTGAAAGTAAAACATTTGTCGGATTTGCAAAGACAATTTCTGTTCTTCTCTTTGCTCCAATTGTGAGATACTTTTTCCACCTTTGGAATTCCATTTTATTGTCAATATTTTCTATTATACCGTTTAAATTAACTATAATTTATCTATCAACTAGAACAACGATAGTAATTTCAGAAATTTCCAATCTCACTTACTATAATTTCATTAACAGTGATACCAGTGAAGTTCGGTAAATAATAATTTACAATATCGTTACATAAACAGTCCCTTAAACGTAAATATTCATAACTGAAATTATTATGCTCAATAATAATTTCTAATAACAATTGCCAACCATTTCCAATAATAAACATTATTTCCAATATCAATTTAGCCTTCTTTTCTCCAAAACGAAGAGAATTCCCAAAAATTGTTCTTCAAATACTGAAACTTCTAACTTTTCGTGACTAGGATCGCTTAAAGGTTATCAGGATCGATCGACGAAAGGTTCCCATGACAAACTTTTCTGTTTTACCTTGTGAGAACACACTTAACCTCAAAATTTTACGCTAGAAATTTATTCAAATCCCGTATAATTATTCAAACCTATGGAAATAACTATGAACGAAGTTTCTATCGTCTGTTAACAGAAAATATCGCGGAAAGTAAACTTCGATCGATCAAAACACACTTCAGCTGCTCCGGAATGAACGTCAAGACAAAATGGAAGCGACTGTTCCGAAGGTCTGAGGGTAGATATAAGAAAGGAAAAGCTTGGGAAACGAGGAGTTTCTTTTTGAAGGAGTATTCGTCAGTATTATCCGCAAAAGGTCGAATCAAGATGATTGATGCGTGTTAGTCGATCATGTCCTCGCTGATATGGATCTTCTGGCGTCCATCTTAGCAAGGGGGATTCCTTTCTTCACATAACAACACCGATAACACGATCCTCTCATTAGAAAGTTATAGCAAGGGTCCGTAGGGCAAACGGTGAAGTGAAAATTCCAATTTTTCTCTGGTATATAGGGTGTCTGATAAATTGTATCAGGTCATCGTAAAAGTTTCCGCCACTTTTAAGGTTAGGTTCATTTCGAGCAAATTTTCTGGCCTTCGCTCATTTACGAATAGTTCATTTTGAATTAAACCATTGAATTGAAACGAAGTGAAAAAACATAACTGCACTGAAATTGTATACATTTTTATTTCAAATAAGTTTTGTAACATTCGATACACTTTTGCCAGTATATTACAAGAGCGTATTAATTCTGCGTACATAAAAATTCGAAAATTCTTTCAAATAAAAATGTTCAATTTCAATGGGATTATGTTCTTTTTTTTTCCAAATGAATGGCTTCGACACTTGAATCTTGGAAAATTTCAAGGAAATTCCTGTTTATCTACTTATTGATATAGACGTAAAAAGTAATTTAAACAATCGTAACAGCAGTATAATCTTTCTTATCGTTGATATCATCACAAACTGTCATCACATAAAATCGATCGTAGCCATATTCTTGAATGATACATGGCACAAATAGATCGAAATATAATTGGTCTCAGCGCAGTTAATTAAATTTACAGATTCCTCCATTCACCTGCACGCCGCGATATCCCTTTTGTTCTTTTTAAATCGATTCAACTCGAGGCTAATTGTACTCTATTGCAGCTTCACGGTATCGTTAAATCTGTACAAATACAATAACCATGCAAAGAGTGCTTGAAATATTGCACTTCTCAGGCCAATAAATATTACGCAACACTGTATATAACCTCATAATCGGACCTAACATGTCAAGTATCGTATTACATTAATCTTATCAATCTTAAACAAACGAAAAATTCGTGAAATAAAATACTAATATTTTTCACTACGTATTCAAATAATTTGATAATTTTCTCTATCTTCTGGAAAGTATCGAACTTGCAGCTGTTAACTTGCAAACGCAAAAATCATTCCATAGAAAATTACTTCTACTGACAAAAGTTATTATTTTATAATAATATTTCACTTATTTTTCACAGTAAATTATACGGTACAGGGGAGAAGTTGTGCTTATACTGTTAGTTGACTGCGCTATTGATGGAAAAACAAATGAATACTATAGCCCTGAGCAACGTATTCCGGCGACGTTCTGTTTTCTTCAGTATCACCGGAGTTCTAAGACGTTTAACGTTTACGCTGGTGTTCCGTACGACAAAAGCTATTTTTCATAGCT